GGAGGGGAGCCCCAGCCCAGCGGGAGGATGAGCCCGCAGGGCCCGCATTGGCAGAGGAGTCGTTCCCTGCTTGTGGCCTCCGGGCGGTTGAGTTTTGGCGGATTACGAGCGAAGAGTTGAGGCCGCCCTCGCCCACTGCCTTCAACGCAGGAGCTGGACATACCAAGAGAGACGTCATTCCGAAGCTTAGCGACTTATCTCGATGTATCCCAATGGGAGGCCTCACGGCTGGGAGAGGGCTCAGTTGACCCAGCGTGCTATGTGCCATTGAAGGAGCCCCTCGACCCCGAGATGGAGACAGACATGCGAGACCGAGAGGAGCCGTAGGATCCTGAGATGGCAGCTGAGCGGTCGGATCCGGTACGACCTCAGGGTAGAAAGGTGATCACGGTTGGGGATGATACCCCTCCATGTTCCCCAGCTCCAGAGCCAGCACATCGTTCATGGCCAGAGGGGATTCCTGAGCCAGGCAGTGAGGAGATTCTGGAGTTTCCCTCTGAGACCACCACTGTGCCTGAGCAGGAGGCAGAGGCGGAGGACCAGGGAGTGTGTGAGAGAGCGAGGATGAAGGTGCCCCTTGGCTTGCCCTCGGCCACGCAGGTGACCAAGAGCCCAGATATCGAGGAGCCCGTTTCAGCGGAGTTACCGCCAGTAGTGTCGTGCGCAAGCGAAGGGATGGAGGCGGAGGCGTCGACTTCAGGGAGCCGGGGGCCGCGAGTGGGAGGAACCCCAAGAGAGACCCGCGAAGAGAAGTCCGCCCGAGTGCCGGTCCGTCTGGACGAGATACACGCAAGGCAGGCTGAGATGGAGGCGGCGCGGATAGAGACTACACCGCCGGTCGAGCCCAAGATTAGTGAGTAGAGAATTGACGAGTAGTGGGCTAGGTATAAGAGCCAGAGGGATGCAGCCCGCCAGGGGTCACGAGAGGCAGGACGAGCAGAGACGAGTGAGTTGAGGGAGATGGGGGAGTTGGGGTTCTCCGCGACCAGGCAGGCGATTGAGCGCATGGATCGGAGGGTATGCGAGACGACAGTCACATCTTTCCAGTGGTATAACCTACTTAGCAATCAGCTCAGGGTTAAGGAGTTGGAGGTAGAGCACCTGACTACCCAGCTTGCCGAGGAGAGGGCGAGGAGCCAGGCAAGAGAGGTTGAGTGGGAGAGGAGATTTGGGGAGATGGCGGCCGCTGTGGATAGGCTCTCGGCAGCCTGGGAGGCTAGCCAGGTGGGGCGAGCCAGTGCTGATGGCCAGGGCCGGGGGATGCGCGCCTCGCCGAGCCAGGGAGCAGCAGTGGAGGTCCCTCGACAAAATGAGCCCGTGGAGGGGGTGCCCTTGGACACGGCCGGAGAGGAGGGGCGCGCACAGGAGTCGCTTATGGCCATGTCCACGGAGAGGAGAGGTTCGGGTTTGCATGAGTTGGCGGCAGCCATGAGGATAGGCACTCCACAAGAGAGGCCTCAGAGACTCGACGCTCCAGAGCAGGCCCCGAGGTTAGGAGAGTTGAGGGCGGAGCTGGGCTCCTAGGCCACGGAGACGGACTCAGGAGGCCCCGACTCGCGACAGCAGCAGCAGCAGGAGGTCATGAGTGAGCCCACCACTGTGGTGAGCTCTCAGCCGTCTGGATTATGTGGGAATGAGATGGTGGGTGTGACAGAGAGGGCTCATGAGGAGGGACCCCGAGCGCTGGATATGCCAGACTGCAGGCCAGGGAGCACAGCCGCACGAGGGGTTGAAGGTGCTGAGGCTATGGAGTCCGGATCTCAGGGCCATATGGGATCGTCCTCGTGTCATGAGGTGAGTACTGGGACCATGGGGGCGCCTTCGGCATTTAGTTCGCAAGGGAGAAAGGAGAAGACTACTAGATGGCATGATACCTCCTATTTTTGGTGCAAGGAGGGAGGACATAGAGCCGTGGACTGTCCAGAGCTCCTTGAGGATAAGGCCAAGGGGCGAGTTGCGGAGGTCGACGGCAAATTCTATGACAGACAGGGCAGGATCGTAGAGCGAGCTCCGGATGGGGGCAGGGCTTAGTTATATAGGCAGAACCAGGAGGAATTATGTAAGTAGGGATCGGTCTGTCTATATATTGATAGGACTAGAGATCCTTGACACACACAGGGCGGGGTTAGAGGTGTACATACCTTGAGTCAGTTGAGCGGGCCCTAGATGTGTGTGTGCGTAGGAGTGGTGGGATGAGTTTCTATCCGATTCTACATATACGTGTGACTTTTGTTCGCTTGTTTCCTCTTGAGTTTCTTCGTGGGCTACGAACCAGGGATAGAACTCAATTGTGTGATATATGAAACCATTTAGTTACATTTGGTTTTGTGACTCAGAGGCTATTGCTGCTCTGAATGAGATTTGGGAGTTTATAGCACTCGGGGTGTGAGTTTCCCCAGCAGGGGAGGACAGGGGCTAGGTATTATGTGAATGATTAGGCGGATGCTATGTTCCCAAGTGTATTTGATGAGTGTACAGTGGGGTTATGAGTCCTACTCAGACAGGCGAGGTATTGAGTTGAGTGCTTGTGTTCGATTGTTGGGGGAGACATTCTACTCCCTGAGTGTACTATGAGTTGAGATCCTATGGGACTTGTCTTGTGACGATCACTATCGCTCTCACATGTGTGGATTTATCTCGATGAATGTTTGGCTTTGTGTGAGAGATGTACATGATACATCTCATGAGCATGATTGTGTAAATTGTAAAGTTGTCTACCCTCCGGTATACTCGTGCGGTCTGCTGCAAGTGGACGAGAGGGCAAGGTATAAGGAGGGAAAGTGCAGCCTGTTTGTGAAAACTGTGAGAATCCCACAAGATTGATGGATTTAGGAATTTGCATGTTCGGCCATACTAAACATCGTTTCCTAAATCGTATAGGGACCCAGAAGGTGGTCCCTCAGCTTGAGTTGTTTGATGATTAAGACCCCCTTCATGATGCTGCGAGGTGGGAATTACAATGTGTGGAGACCCCTTCATGGTTTTGGAAGAGGTCGTGTGACGAGTCATCCCATACAGGAAGGGGATGGCCGGAAAATCTTTTGTGAAAGGCACCCTTCACCACGTAAGGGTGAGTAAAAAGTTGACTAGTATGGAAAGCATTGTTTGTATTGATAAAGTCTGACGAGAAGGAACCATGTTTGCTTGAAGCATTTAAAAAGGGCGAGAGATGCCTCGGGATGGGCGACTGCTGGCTCTGATCAAGTCAGGAGCCGCGACCATGTGAATCCGGCAGGGATGGTTTGTGATTGAGCGAAGGATGTCGTGCCTATTATAGGAGGGTCGGTAAATGCCTTCAGACCCCTGCATAGTCCCACAGCGGCCTGTGAGTTTGTTTGTGACGCCCCGCCTGGCCACCTGTGCTAATTATGAGACATATTTAAAGGAATACCAAGCTAACGGTAAAGCTTAGTGCCACCTGGGCGCAACCCCTAGTGGATGGCTGCTAGCCAGCACAACCTGGCTGCGGGCCCTCAAGGTAAGAGCTTAAGGGGAGTTGCCCGCCCTAGGGAAATTACTTCGCGGGATAGGAGTCGAGTCCCTAGGAGACCCTGATTGATTGATTATCAGGGACATACCTATCGTTGTACAACCAGCGGGAGGATACCGCCGCTAAGGTAACAATGCGGTGGGCCGTAGACCTGGCTCGATCAGCCAGGCTACGGTGGGCCCAGATGGGGACCTGGCATTTTTGTACTAGACTGCAAAAAAGCCTGAGAGAGGCTACAAGCTTATACGTGTGTGTTTTGTTTAACTGTGAGAAATTTGTTGAAGAAGACGAAGAATGCCTTCATAGGTCCCATTCAAAGCCCGCGTCCCTAGTTATGGCTCTGCTTACGAGAGAGAGGCTAACTGGGACACCCAACGAGAGGCTGACCGTTGTCTAGGACGGAGGGGAAGAGGATAGTTTGGGGGCCTTTGGAACTTATGTTGTAGTATTGATGCGTAATACACCGGCGTCCTGGTGTCGGGGCAATGGAGACCCAGGTTGAAACCCTGGCAACATATAGTTGTGTTGGCACGGTCTGATGGAGGCCTCAACCCTGAAGTCTGTTGGCTAATCGGATTGGTTCTGATCTCATCAGCATTTTGAATGTGATGGAAATCTATAGCTTTTTTATTTGGCGATGCGACGGGGACATCGCTTAATATGGTCCGGTAAGTTATCGGCGCGAATACCCTTACAACGGTATCCGCCTTGGTTTTTGCAAGTGACAGAAAGGCTTGGTTAACCTGGATTCTGAGTGCCCGTGCAGGAAATGTGAGGGTCGTTCGCGCGTGAGCAAAGGTCTGCCTTGTCCCGGTAGGCAGTACGTGGGCGCGCAATTTTAAGGCGCACGTATGATTTTTCTGATTGAGTGGGCGGCCGGGGTAGCCGACCAACCCATACATACCAAAGCCACGAGATTGATTAGGGGATGAAGGTCCGATTTTTTGGTCGGCGCGCGCGACCGACGGTAGGATTGGCGTGCCGGTAGGTGCATGGAACGGCTACAGCGCGGGGCGGTGGCCCGGCGTGGACGCTTAGGGGCCGTGGGTACAAATGTGGGTCGAAAGAGTGGCCGGAGCGGTATCCTGACCCGGAGCGCCGTGCGGTACCACCTTGTATGTGAAGCCGCGCCCGCTGGGCTCAGGCTTGAGCTTAGCCCTATCGGTTACGGCATTGGACTATTGCAGCGGAGGTACGGGGATCACGGTCAGCGGGCGGCGGCACGAGAGCGACGGAGCGACGAAAGCTGAGGGGTTGAGGGTCCCGCGGGACTATCCCCTCAGTTTTTTGTTGGGAGAGCCCGGACGCGGACCCGCGCCAAAGGGTTTTTTTTTTACGGAAGGGCCCGCGGAGGCCTGCTCCTTCTTTTTCGTTGGGGGCCTGTGTCAAATTTTAATTACTTTATTTTGTCGTTGGTCCTTAGGGCTATAGGGGGGCCGATGCCCTGCTTGGAGACCCCGGGGGATACTGATTTGGTCCACACGACATGAACATCAAGACAAAGAGGGGTTGGCTGGTTGCTTGGCAGGCAGCCGTGGAGTCCACCCGGTCAGAAGCGGAGGTTGCCAAGGCCCCATGTGAACCTAGCCGAGGAAGTGCGCCAGGGGAGGGAGCGCGAGGGGCGGGGGAAGGATAGCTTGACCCCGGCGCAAGGATGGCACGTGGGAACCGAGAGAAAAGGGGGGGCGGGTTTGTGAAATGAACCCGGACGTGGAAAGAGCCGGGTACGACGGAAAAGGGGCAGTGGCTGAGATCTTCGGGGGGGGCGCTGYCGAAATCGGAGCRATACGGTGAAGATCYGGCTRACSGTGTGTARGGCGGCGTAYGCACTTCYGYGAAGTGAAYCCGACGGGGATCASGCYGGGCGCCTACAAAGGAGGATAGRGGAACGGGAACGAACGGGRAYGCATTCTTGCRTCAGGTGCGYTCRATAACCGGGGTGGCAAAGAGAGTAGTCGGGCGGAGGGTGAAGGCAGCAACCAGGTGAGAGTGGAATGAATCYGACCCAGAATCGCGTCTGGGTTCATTYGGAGGAGAGAAAGGACAAGGAGGGGACAGTGAACAGTGGAAAAGGGGCGGCCACGGTCGRAAGTCCTTAGGGACGTCTGTAGAAGATGGAGATGAGGCAAAGAAGATTTGCTCCGGYTGCRCAAGGGTGATGAGCATAGATTCGGGAAGAACCTGGACGCGGATCCGACCCGGGACGTGTAACAAAWARRGAAGGGGGAGAATAGGTSGGATGAGCCGAGGGGCTRACAAGGCRCGGGGYARATTTTCGCAGCGYCCGTAAGATTGGAATGRCATAGRRAAAAYTTGTATAAGCCTTGCGCACGGTCGAYGMGTACAAGCCCWAGAAAAGRGGCCAGATTCGTGCAGTRAGGCAAGGCAGTGTGGTGGCYRCGMGGACTTTGAAAGGTCGCGGGGTGYTGCCAGCGCCCRAGTCCTTTGGGACAYCYGTTAGAATTAGGACGACRGARAGAAGTTTAGCGCAGCCCCTGCRTAGGGCCGRCGTGTATAAAACGGGAGCGTGGCTCCYTACACCGGTTTGTTTGCTTCGTCCGCCTTTYGCAGCGGTCGCGGGTGYGTTGCCTSACGGTGGGGTACGAGTTCRGGTTGACGACAACAGCGGGCCGAGGAGGAAGGCGATAACGAAGGAACGGAAGGGAGGAGTGGCCCRTCGGGCTTGGTCCTTGAGGGACGGGGTAGGGAAGGAGCTGGCTTCAGGGCTTCTGCCCCGGGGCGAGTTGCATGGCGGGGCCAGGTTCGGGGACTAGTGGCTAGTTTGGGGATATCCTAGTAGGGTGCTGCGCGGAGGGCTCGGATATGGCAGGTACGGGGGAGGAAAGAAAGTCGAGGTTGCTCAATTCCTGGCGCGAACAGGTAAGGAGAAGTAGCAAGTAGGGGGTTTCGGGGTGGGCGATATCGGATCCACGGCTAGTTTCGGTAGAAAGTAAGGGTAGGAGGGGTTAGATAACAAAAGTACTGCGCTGAAGCATGACAAGAGAGGGCAAAGTTGGGCGAGGGAGGAGGTAGCCCGCCCGTTTCGTGGCAAAAATGGGGGTGGGAGGACGTATCTTTCCATGCTCTAGCGGGAGATTCATTCTCATTTCAT